CCTAGGGTCTAACTAAGATCGTCATTTCGATGAAACACGTTTCGGCCATTATTTCGAATTCAAAAATTTTAGATTTATTTTTGATATTCAGCTAAAAAAATCGGACTAAAAAAATCATCGGCCCTTGTGAGCCATACTCCACACCAAATATGGTTGACGAGCCGCTTAAACTACGGCGAATCTCGTTGAATAATGATGAGTGTGGCCGGCTTTTCTTTTCACCGCAAATTTCAGATCACTAAGCTAGTCTCGAAAGGTACTTAAAAAAATAACAATTCAAACATATTTTTTGATTCCGCAGGAAAATGTCCAATTTAGCTAAGTTAAGTAAAATTCAGTGGAACAAAAAAATCGAAAAATAACGCTAAAGATCCATATTTTAGGAATAAATAGATATTTAGTTAACAAAATTTCAATTCATTATTTCATAAAACTCAAATAAGGAGAAATCAAAAAAAAAAATCAAATAAAAAAAATCATATTTTTTAAAATTTAAGCCAAAAATTGGCAAAAAAAATGTTAATTTTTTGTTTCATAAAAAGGAGGGGGGTTCAATTATTTCAAAATTTCCCAATCAACTTTATTTATTAACAATTCCGACACATGAAACAATGTCTGCTGATTCCATATAAGGTCTTTTACATATCAATGCGCAATGAAACCTTTTGCGGACATCCTGCTTATGTCGGAGAATAAATTTCGTGTTCAGCTTTAAACTACAACATGGAAGATACCCAAAGGAACAATGTATGGGGGAAGCAACAATAACCCAAAATTTCTTACTTCAATTAAAGCGATGATGTCAGGCATGACAAGTGGAATTAAAATTAAAAAAAATTAACATTTCCCGAAAAAAAAAATGTCTGAAGAATCAAATATCTTTTTCAAATATCTTTCAAAAAAGAGGGGCTTCAGGAACGAAAGAAACCAACCTAATAATAATAACCCACAATAATGACAGTAGGCCGGCATTCAAATTGTCACAGAAAGTTCAGTTCATGGCATTGTTGAAAAGGGCTTCACAATGGGAGGGAACATGACGAGCTGTCAAGAACATGAACATAAGTAGGAAGTTAAATGTGTACCTCCTCCCTCCCTCCATGTAAGTTGGAAAGATGTGGAAAGAACACGCATGGATCAGCACTAGACTATAATTTAATAAAAGGCAATTACTGGGCCTTTGCCCCATTCCCTTCCCATTTTTTTTTTGTATTGTAGGCCAGTGGAAAAAATTCTGGTCGTACCACACACCGATGATGATGATTCTGATGACGACGATGTCACACAAAATAATAATTATAATTTAAATAGTTAAACAATTTATTTATTGCAAAATAGTCCGGAGAGCCAAACGGCGGACCCACACTCAGACATTGCAAACGGCACAGACAGCCACTCACACAGCCAGCAATTCTCGTGAAAATGAGGAAACCGAGGGAACAAAATTATTGTAATCCACAGCAAAATTTTCAAAAAAAAAAATGTAAACAAGCTGAGAGCAATATTCAGTTGTAGGTATGTAATGATGTCATATCAGTTTTTTTTTACAGAGATTAAACATACTCTCTTGATGGGTGGAGGAGGTCATAAAAAATGTGTTTGTAGTTTGTATTTTTTCTATATAAATTAAAGACAAGGACAATTTGTAGTCCAGGGGTCAGCTTAGCAAGCAATTAGTAATTTTATTGAGAATGTGAATCATGGGAGGAGGAGAAATTGTTGATGGAAAAATATTGAGATGTGCCAAATGTGAATGGAATCGGATGTTAATTTCGTGTTTTATGAGCTTTATAGATATTCAAAATTTTGACCCTTTGTGGGGGAGGTACCAGGAGGTGTGGAGAGATATATCCCATCTTCACACAAGACCTTGGGCTAAAAAAAAATATTGTGATGTGTTTAATTTGAAGAGAACCGGATAATTAGTTCAGATTTTATGATCGTTTTTGATATTCAAAACTTTGACCCTTTGTGGGGGAGGTACCAGAAGGAGTGGTCCGATATCTCCCATCTTCATACCAGACCTTGGGCTAATAAAAATATTGTGATGTGTTTAATTTGAAGAGAACCGGATAATTATTTCGGATTTTATGATCGTTTTTGATATTCAAAACTTTGACCTTTTGTGAGGAAGGTACCAGAAGGAATGATCCAATCTCTACCATTTTTATAACAGGTCTTGTTTTGATAGAAATATTGAGATTTGCCTAGTCCGAATAGAATCGAATGTTAATTTCGTGTTTTATGAGCTTCATAAATATTCAAAATCCTGACTCTTTGTGGGGGAGGTACCAGAAGGAGTGGACCGATATAGTCCATCTTCACACTAGACCTTGGTTCAATAAAAATGTTTTGATTTGTGTAATTTGAAGACAATCGGATACTTGCATCAAATTTTATAAAAATAATAATTATTCAAAATTTTGACCCTTTGTAGGGGAGATATTTGATGGAGTGGACCGATTTTGTCCATTTTCGCATCTGATCTAGCACTGAAGAAAATATTAGGATTTGCAAAGTTGGAGCAAAATCGGACAATCCTTCCCCTTTCTGTGCAGTAAATTATTTTCATTGAAAATTTCGACATTTTGTGAGGGAGGTACCAGAAGGAGTGGACCGATATATTCCATCTTCACACCAGACCTTGGTTCCATATAAATATGTGATGTGAATAAATTGAAGACAATCGGACCCTTACATCGTATTTTATAAGAGCTATAATTATTCGAAATTTTTACCCTTTGAAGGGGAGATACTTGATGGAGTGGACCGATATTTTCCATTTTCTCACATGACCTAGCACTGATGCAAATATAAGGATTTGCAAAGTTGGAGCGAAATCGGATTATCCTTTCTCTTTCTGTGCAGTAAATTATTTTCTTTGAAAAATTTAACATTTTGTGTCGGAGGTACCAGAAGGAGTGGACCGATATTACCCATCTCCGAACTCAATCTAAGTTTGATAATCATATTACGATGTAGCAAGTTGGGATCGAAACGGAGAGTTATTGTGCGCACCAGCCAGCCAGACAGACATTCGGACGGTCGGACATCGCTAGATCGACTCCAAATGTCCTGAAACGGCTTAGGTCCAAAAAGACCTAGGGTCTATAACCGTTATTTTGATGAGGCACGTTTAGGTCGCATCAAATGACATATACCCTCTCTAGCCATATGGCTGAGGGTATAATTACACAACATTTTTGAGAAAAATGTTGCTGATTTGTTAAAAAATAGTTGAATATAAATGTTTTACTCAAACCTATTTTGTTCACTTCAATGCAGTTTCAAATTATAAATTTTGAAAAATTTCTGTTATCTAAACCTTCCCCAGTTGATGGAAAAAATTGAAGTGTGCTCAGATTTGTTTTCAAAATCTCTAGTTTGGTCTTTTTCAAAAAATAGGCTCTCGATTCGCACAAGCTAATATATTCAACAAAATTCCCAGCTGAATTAAAAACTGTTAGCCGGAATTCATTCCAGGCCATCATTCCGTAATTGTCAAATAATTCTCTAAATACTTGAAGGGTAATAAGGATTTTTCACAGAAGGAAAGCAAGAAAAGAGACTGTTTTTCGATTTAAGTGTTTGTTTTCTCTTTCGAGACGAGCTTAATGATCTGAAATTTGCAGTGAAAAGGAAAGCCAGATAGACACTATCACACACTCACCACTATGCGACGCGTTTCGCCGTTGGTTAAGCGGCTCATCAGGCATATTTGATGTGGATGATGGCTTACAAGGGCCGTTCTCTGGAAAGTAGTATATATTTCGAACTTATTGCAAATTAGCATATGCGAATTATACACTAGAAACTCTCCAGGTTCGACTCAAGTTCTATTGGCAGATCTTTTTCACAGCAACGTTTTTGTTTTTGTAGTGATGAATTTTTTGCCCACAACAACTACATTGCTTCCAATGCATACACTTGTTTTAGTGCTGCTTTAGGAAGACGGGTTAATGGCTCTGAACGTAGAGACGGCAACTTCTAGTTGGCTGCACACAGAGGTCCGCGGTTCAAATCCTTTCCTTTATCCAATTTTCCGGGGAGAGAAATAATCAAGATCCTACAAATTGTCTTAACCCCAGCTGAATACCTTGTCCTGCGGAAAAATTATTTAAAACCAAAAAAAAATCCTGGCTAAGCAAATTCATTCGGGACCAACGTCCATAATCAGCAATTAGTTTTCTGAACATTTGATTAGTAAAAAGCATTTACAGAAAGTACGAAGGCAGAACTCGGTTTCTTTTACTCAATTTTTTTAGCATGGGGGGAAGGAATCCTTAAAATTAAATCAAAAATCGATAAAACTCACTTCATCACAAATTAGACATGTCTGCATTGTCCAAATCCCAGCTGAATACCTTTGACCACCTCCTATACTCCACAGTGATTTTATTATCCCTAAGAAAAACTTATTTTGAACCAAAAAGCCATAAAAAATACAAACTGTGTTGCTCTTGCTGTTAGCCCCAAGTTATTCCGGACAATCATCCCATAATTATCAATTAATTTTCAAAACACTTAATTGGTAATGAGAAGTTTTCAGAAAACACAAAAACAGGGCAGGGTTTTCCTTTACCCAATTTGCCGGGGAGAAGAGAGAGAGAGTCATAATTGACCCCCCAACACATACAAATGAATATTGGATTATCTTCTCTTGGATAGTTTACGTTTCCACGGGACATTATGTGAAAATCCTGCAATGAAACGCATGCGCCAAAAATAAACATGGCTCTCATTTGGAATTGTTATCCTTTAAAAAATCTACGGAGCCGAGGGGAGGACTGACTCTCTATAAAAAGAAAATAAAGTCAAGTGCGTTAAATAATACCCGAACAATGAGGTTGGCGGGGATGGTGATGATGGCAAACCCAAACAGGTCTAGTTTCAACAACAGCCCACAACCAAGTGGAGATAAATTTACCTATGTGTTATAAAACAATTACAACAAATTACCCTTACAACAAATTAATATATTAAATTTTTGTTTTACTTACTGGCATTCATTCATGATCTCATCCTGACTGCGTACTTGTACGGGCGCCAGCGCCTCCACATTTTCCTCGAAATTGCCAAAACATTTGGTGATTTTCTCATCGAATGTATTGACCAAATCTTCGAGGCTACCGCCGAATGCCTCACTGAAATTGTCGGTGGCATCCACCAGACTCTTGGAATCCATGGCCGCATCCAATGCTGTGGTCATTTCATTGCTTAGCATGGTATTGCAATTGGGACTTATTGTACCATTGCCAACGGCGGCCGTTGGATAGCCTCCATTTTTGCTGACATGTGCATCCCTAACGGCCTCCTCCAACAAACGGATTTTATTCTCCTGGGCAATCATTGGATCCTTGAGATTCAAATTCAATGAGTCATTGATGGTGTTCTGATTGGAAATGAAATCGCAACCGGCCCAATCATCGGTTTCATCCATTTTTGCCAGAGGAGCCTCGAATTTAAGCTCGGCCATTTTTGAACCGAGTTCACGCATGGCCCACTGTATTCACCAGGAAATAAACAAAATGTGGTCGGATGGGGGAGCAAACTCTGTCACAAAAATTTCGACGATGATATCAGACTCTGGGTATCCACTGGCTGGCTGACTCAATTATTCCACTTTACGTTATGGACTGACAGACAGGCAGGCAGGCAGGCTAGTTTGAGACTGACACAAAAAAAAAAACAACACCACACAATTTTTTTGTTTTCACAAAAACAACCCCCTTTTGCTTGAATTTACCACTGCCAATGCTGCTTCTTCTTTTTGATTTTATTTTTTTTTTCTTTTCAAATTTAGAGGGTGTTTTTCGTTTTGTGTATATTTTGTTTGAATTTTTGCACTTGTTTTATTATTGCTGTTGTTGTTGTTGCTTTTTTCAATTTGATAACAACACCTTTAAACTGATTTCCATACACTTGAATTCCACTGATAATTCATTTGAATTTGTTTATTTTTGTTTTTTTCCTCTATGATTTTGCTTCATTTGTTGTTATTTCATCGAATTTTTTCAATTATTTTGTGTGGGGGAGTAAGAGAGGTGGTTCTTCTCTTTGGCCTTTTTGAACAAAAACAAACAAATCAAACTTTGCAACAGCAATTTTTACATTAAGCAAACACGCACGCACACACTTCGTTTGTTTGTTAATATTAAATCGTACGAAATGGTTTTTATTTGTGTATATATTTATTGGTTTTTACATATATTTTAAATTATTTATATTTTTTTGTTTTGCTTTTCACACGCGCTAACCGTTGTTTCTTCCACCATGAGAAATTTGAGAATGAGCATTTTGTCTTCGTGAGAATTTTTGAATATCTTTTTTTTGGAGATTGAAAGAGAAAGAGAGAATTGGCGAATGAGGGATATGTAAATCGACTTGCGCCTATGGTGAAAATCGAAAAGTCGATTATTTGTTATCGATTTTGTGGTCATTGCGTTGCTTTACATTAAGTGGATTATTTCAAGGGTTCTCTTGTGTCTTTGGTGTTCATTTAAAAGGAGAAACAATAGAGGAGAAAAGTAAACATTTACGAAAATGTCTTTGACAATGGACAACGTACAATAAATTGTACTTATATAGTTTACAATTATTTTTTCTGATATTTCATATTATACTGCTTCGACCGTTTTTTATTACTGTTGAAGATTCAATCAGTTGATTTCTTACGTGTGGTATATTCTCACATTGGCTTTTATTAATATTACTCTATATTACAGAGATGTTGAACGAAGCATTCTCATTCTCTCTCACTCACTCACGCACGCATTCTTGTAAGAGGTACCGTTATTGTTTGGGCATAGGTGCTAATGTACGGGTAAGGTTGAATCAAGGAAATTCAGCAGCAAATATAGATGGAACGTGAAATTCAAGGTCGAAAGTGGCATAAGGACGGAATCACAATGCAATCAGGGCAAAACTAATGAGAAGTTGTCAATTTATTTTACCTTTTTTCTCTGTTCCAGAATTGCAAGAATGTTGAATTTTTTTTCTACGATTTGAACCGATAGTTCAATTTATATATACAAATTAAAAAAAAAGAAAATTTGATAACCGAAGGACGAGGATATCTAAATTTCTTCTAAACTTTTTTATTACAACTGTCCCAAAAGTGTCTGAGAGGAGAGAATTGCCACATTCTTCCTAGGTGTAATATATTTCACAAAAATTCTCAAGCATCCTGCTCCTAAAAAATAAAAAATAAAGAAAAACACTTTCTGGCTTTTCAGTTATTTGAAACATTGAAATACAACACGTCTTGTTCAGCAAAAATTGGTAACTGTGTTTTATTTTCATGCAGAATTGTAAATGTAATAATTTTTTTTTTAAATAAAAAATCCTGTAAAAATCCATCCATGTTTGCATGGATGCATTGTAAAGTCTTCAAAATTATTTATTTGACAACGTTTCATTGCCAACATTTATATTTATAAATCCATTTTATACACAGAAATCAGAGATGGGAACCTATTTTTTATTCAGTGAAATTTTACAAGGTAATTTACAGAAAATGCCGAGATTGATAGTCTTATTTGAAATGACTTTACCTTTTTAATTTTACCATGAATTCAACAATTTTTTAACCGTTTTTTTTCTTTCTTTAAAAATATTCTAAAAAATCTATTTTTTTGTAATTAATTCATAGATGCCAATATTATTTTCTTCCATACATATTTTTTAAATTTCCCACACTTTTTTCTTTAAAAGGCATGAAAATCTATTGAGTGGTAAATTTCTGCCATTTGCCATACGTTGTATTTTAAGGATGACCTAAATTCCATTCTCTTTCGTTGCTCTCTGTCATTTATAACGGTCAACTGTGTTTGAAAGACACATGTAAACACTGGACGACGTAGCCTACGTAACGTAAACTTACGGATGATGTTGGTCAAGCCGCATTCGCAAAGGTAGACAAAAAATTGATTAAATTATGGAAATAAATATGGAAAACATATGCAAACCGATTTCATTGGTATCAGAACACGTTTTCGAGGAAAATAATCATGAATAATAATGATAATAGTAATGATAATAATAATAATAATAATAATAATAATAATAAAAATAATAATTATAATAATAATAAAAATAATAATAACAATAATAATAAAAATAAATATAATAAAAAATAATAATAATAGAAATAATAATAATAATAATAATAATAATAATAATAATAATAATAATAATAATAATAATAATAATAATAATAATAATAATAATAATAATAATAATAATAATAATAATAATATAATAATAACAATAATAATAATAATAATAATAATAATATTAATAAGGTATTATAACATTGAACAAAAATTCAATAAATTAATAAAAAATCAAATAAAAAATATTTTTTAATAAAAAACTAAATTAAAAAAAGAATAAAAAAAATAAAAACTTAAATTATTAAATTATTAATTGAAGCATTTTCACAAAAATAAAATAAAACATTATAACATTTAACAAAAAAAATTAATAAAAAAAACATATAATTATTATAACAAATAAAATTTAAAAAATATATGAAATAAAAAAAATAATAAAATAATAAATAATTTGAAGATTTGCTTTCTGTGCCAAAATCAGCGACCTGCTGTAATAACAAAAGTCTTCCTCCATTCATATCCAAATAAAGTGTTTTGTTATTTCTTTATTTGTTTTAGTTTTAACACTTCTTTAATTCATTCATCTTTTGAAAAATAAAAAAAACACACTCTCATTTCCGTACAAACCCAACTACATATTTCGTGGTTTTGCATTCATTCAATAAGCTGGTCTCTTTCGAGTTGGAATTTCTTGGAGTCTTATCTACAAATTTCACAAACTAAATACGTACTTTAGTCTTAATTCATATCAACCATTTCATAATAAATAATATACACACACATACAGAAGTTCTTGGATTTATCGTAACGTTTATGCCAGTTTCAACATTAGACATTTGTGCGCCCACAAGGGAAACAGTGAAAGTGAAAGTTGTAGACAACGAAGTGTTAAACACCCTATGTTATCATTTTCTTGAAAATCCCTAATTTTTTTTAGAATTCTTTGATAATCCATTGCGGAATCAAGATGGTAAAGTCATGCGAACATATTGCCAAAATATATACCGGGTGAGATGAAACAACTGCAACCAACTTCAGAGTGCTGTCATTTCTAAGCCACTCGGATGACAGCTGTTAAAATTATTCCAGTGACAGCTCACTATATTGTTTACAAGCGAACAAAAGCATTTTGGTGAGAATTTATTTTATCCGCGATGGAATTCAAGCGCGATAGTGTGATTTCTTTAAATTTGGCTAGAAAACCACAAGTGGCTATCGTTAGAGGACTCCAGCATTTAAACGTGAAAAAATATTTTGTGTCTCGAACCATCACTCGTTACGTGAAGGTGATACTGGTAGCGTAGCCTGACGTCAAGGAAGTGGACGGAAGCAAAACAGCAACATCAGCAGAAATGGTTCGAAAAGTAAAGAAGCGACTTGTTCCAAACCCGTGTCGCAGTGGCCGAAAAATGGCTCGAAAGCTGAAGATATCGCAATATTCCATTCGGCAAATATTGAAAAATCAGCTCGGGGTAAAGTCATCGAAATTCCAAAAAGTTCAAGAACTTACACCGAAACAGAAAGAAAATAGACTCAAAAGAGCTAAAGAATTGCTTCGCTTGGTCGAAAGTCGTGAACTGCCGAATTTGCTTTTCTCCGATGAGAAAACATTCGTTGTCCAGCAAAAATGATCGTGTTTACTTGCCAAAGAGGTCAGCTGAAAATGTGCACCTTCGGTTGCCCACCAGAACTAAAGCGCCGGCCATGATGCCGCCATAACAGCCGATGGTAGCTCTTCGCTTGTTTTTATCGACCGTGGCATCAGAATTAATGCCGAATATTACCGCGAAAATATTCTGGAGGGCGTATTTAAGCCTTGGGCACGTAAACATTTTGGCGGCAGACCTTAGACATTCCAACAGGACTCATCTACGCGCCACCCAAGAATGGTTACAAAATGATTTTTCTCGCTTCATTTCCAGCGCACAATGGCCACCAAAATCTCAGGATACCAATCCGCTGGACTATTGTGTCTGGAGTATTTTTTTGGAAAGCAAGGTTGGCACAAAAAAATACCAAAATGTCGATCACCTCAAGCAAGCGCTTCGCCGGGAAGGGGCCAAAATACCGCAGAACAACATTCGGGCTAAGTGTGACGGTTTCATTGGCCGTTTGAAGGTCATAATTCGTGCCAAAGGTGACCAATTCGAACAAATCTTAACTTATTGTAAAATTTGATGCTATTTCCGACAGTTTTTGCTTTCATTCAATGAAATTTTTTAAAAAAAAATGTAAAAATTATGGCGTTTGCAGTTTCTTATCTCACCCTTTGGCTTAAGTCATCGGCTGGCTTTTTCAGAAAAGAACAAATGAGCGAAGGCCAAAATCGAACTAAGTCAACCTAAAGCACCATTCCTCAAAGACCTAAAATGGTAAAGACTAGACAAAATGCATTTTGAGCATATGGTTTGTGTCTACAATATATAGGGTAACAGCTCATGGCAGTGACATGTTAATATAAAAACCACAATTACAGAAACGAATAACAAATAAAAATTTGTTGCAGGCCGTTCACATTCGGCGCAAAAAGGCAACAAATATATGGGGCCGGGTTTTTTGGCAAAACCTGTCCACAACCACCGCAGAAATTATCCCAATTCTGTTGGTAGTGCATCCCATAATTGGTCCTCAAATGGATTTGCTCAGTTTTCTTGGGTTTTTAGTGAGGATGGTGAGGATGCTTCGAGATTTCAATTTGCTTGTAATTTCTGCGGGGTGTGTAGTCTGGGTGGCGATGGGATCAAAATGCCGGAAATGGTTTGATAGGGTTCGCTACGTACGAAATTAGGCTCGAACAGGGTTGAGTTAAAGAGTATTATAAAGGTAGTGAATGACAGGGTGACTCAGGCTAAGAAGTGACTAGGCAGCCCTATGATTGCTGAGTAGGTGGGAACCTACTACTACTCCGGGGTGAGCTGAAATGAGAATTCACAATAGAATAAAAAATGGCTATTGACAGTTGAAAAGAAAAAGGAATGAAAATTGAAAATGGCTCAGGAAAATGGTGTTTCGTGGAAAATGAGCGTCTGGCGGGATTCACTGAGAAGAGGGGTATAAAAGGCTGCGAGCATAAGAAAAGCCAAAGTTAAGAATAAGACGTTACCGGTGAAACTTAGCTAGAGAGCAGTGAAGAAGTGGAAAAATTTAATTTGTGTGTTGCGTTTTTTTTATTGTGTAAGTAGTTTGTAACAGTGGTTTGTTGAGTAATGTGTTGTTATATGTGATGTGTGTTGCTCCAACAGGAATATTCCGGTGGTGTATCAAGCTTTTTTGGAAGCACCGAAAATTGTCCGGTTTTGGTCAGCACAACGGCGGGAAATTGCCTTTTCTTTTTGGTAACGCAAGGTAGTGGCAAGTTGTCCACAGGAGAAAAAAGCCAAAAAAAGTTACATTGAGGGTGTGGAGATTTGAATTGTAAACTGGCCAGCTGCAACTTTGAGCTTTTTGCTGTGCCTGTTATTGATCCCGCCCAGAACGCCGGCATTGTAAAAGGACCAGTCAACAAGTCCAGCTTCATTTCAGGGTTTGCCTGGCGTTCAAAATCTGTTTCCTCCGGAAAGAAGCGTAAACTGGAAGAAGAGATAAGAAGAATTAATCAATAACGTTATAAATCACTGCTCAGGTAAAAGGTGTCTTACCGTTGTGTTGTCCTTGATAGATATATTTATATATATATGTGACGTCCATAAAATTTGCTGTCTCCTTTTTTGGAACTAAAAGAAAAGAAAAAAAGAGTTAATAATCATAAATTTCGAGAAAAAAAATATAATATTCAGTATAAAGATTTAGTAATAAGATAGGTTATAGTTCTTAGGATTTAAGTAATAATCAGTTTGTAAGGGAAAAATACCGCGTTTATTTTCAAAGGCTAGGAGGTGTTACAGTAAAATTATCTTGAGTCCTTGTGATTCGATCTGATAGTTTAGGCCGTGGAATTTTAGCGGCAATTAGGCCGGTTAAGAGAGCTCTTTTAGGTGGCTAGTAATTTCGTATAGACGCGTGAATATTGCGCGGGAAAAGCAAGGCAAAGGATAATATATTGGTTTCTACCGAGTAATTAAAGCCATAGATTTAAGAAAGCCCGGTATTATTCTTAATTTGTTTTTTTTTTATACCATACAGTTTGTCAATTTTAGTGTAAGAAAAAAAATAGTAGAGAAAAAAATTAAGAAAATATTTAAAGCTAACTTATTTTTTTTTAATAAAATTAAAAATGATTCTTTTGTAAACAGTAGATACTAATATGTGTTGCTAAATTTGTATAACTTGAGGGGGGAAGGTGGTATGAAGTAAGTGTGTGATTCAAAGCGTGTGGTTCAAGGGGATTCAGAGAAACGCAAGAAATGGAAATACTGGATCCAGGTAGGGTGGGCGAGTGTGGGATCGATCCACCGAGATCCCTGTATGATGACTCCTATTTTGTATATCGTAGAGTAGAGCAATTGTAGTAAAGTCCCCTTTCAATGTTAGTGTGTTGGATTCGATTGGCGGGTTGAGATCCCTAGCCCTGGGAGTCTCTGTGACAGTCGGATGGCCTAATCGTATGCCGAGCAAATGCACACATAACAGAGATGGCGCCCAATATTCTAAAAAAAGCTTTATTGTACCTGATACCACTGTAAAAAAATGGCGACTCAAACATGGCCGTGTTAAACTGTGATATTAGGTTAGTAACTCTGTGCAGTAACATCGACGCACACAGCCATAGAATGCTAGTAGATTTTAAATAGACAAAAGAAAATGTTTTTGACAAATAATATTCTGTGATATTAGTATGCATCCGAACTTTAGAGAGATGGGTTACGAAGTGCGATATTACTATATCAAATATATTATGGGAACGTTTTCTCCACTGTTCTAAGTAGGGTGTAATCAATAGCTTGTAATTCCGAGCTGGAATAAAACAATTTGTATTGAGAATCCTACTGTTAAAATTTGTTTTTGTGAAATAACCCAAATAAATTATAGACAGGAATAAGTACATCGAGTAGCAGCAATAGCGATTTTGATCTGAGAGATGCAAAAATCTTAGTATTGCATATAAAAACCCTGAGCTTTCATTTATGAAATGTAATAGATATGTCAGGGGTCCGAAGTTAACAAAGCACTATAATTTATTAGAAGAATAAGAATGTCTAAGGGAAGAGTCATACACCTCATAAAGGGCACTAAAATTATTAAAAAAAAATAATAATAATAATAAAAAAATAAATAAATAAAAAAAAACCACACACACACTGCTTCTGAAAATTACACTTCCCCCGTAGATCTATGTTGTAATTGTCAAATTTGAAAATTTGTATGTGTAATTGTAATCGAATGTATTTATAAAAAGTATTTGTTTTGCCGATGTTTCATATTTGAAAAAAAGGTTAACTGAATTTAAAACTTACTTACAAGAAAAGGTTTCTTCCGAGATTCAATTGATAACAAATGAGAAGATAAATTTTGGGTATAGGTCATGATCTACAATACCCGCAATAGTAAAAGAAATAAGAGAGGCAGACCCGAAAATTTTGACCTAAACCGATCGACTTATTTTCCAGAGCAGAGCAAGCAAAGACGAATAGGGTCGGACGAAATGGCGAATGAGGATAGGAATATGAGTGCTTTGCAATTTATCGATCTAGCAGACACGATAATGCGAAGAGATCAGAACACCAATCATGTGCCAACAGTGAGTGATAATTTGAATAATAATGGTCCAACTACTTCCGACTTACATGGACTAGTACAAGATGAAGCAGCGTCTGTCCAGAAGTCATTGGAAGATAAAGTTAAAAAAATGGTCGAAACAGAAATATCTGATGTGAAGAAAATGATAGATTCTTTATCAAAAGGCATGAGAGAACTATCCGACACTGTGCGTAAACAATTAATTGTACCCCCAACGGCTACGGTAGCCTCTAATTCTATTACAAATAGTAATGCTAATCCGACGTCAAACAATAATAATGACGCAGTAAATAGGAATATGCCACCAATTATCCAATTTCCGAGTGCTAGTCAAACTCCATTATCAGATCAATTTACTGGCCCGATAACGAATACGTTTAGAGTGGAACCACTAGGAATACGAGTTGATAAACTTGGTTTAAATTTCAGTGGTGACCCGAAAGGCTTAAGAGTTATGGATTTTATTAAGCGGTTAGAGATCATGCAGGCTCAATATAATATTCCATGGTCTGAAGTGTTGAGGGATTTCGCCTTTCTGGTTTCTGGTCAAGCCAGAGAATGGTATTGGCTGCATAGACAAAGTAATGTTTACACCGATTGGGTGGGTCTTAAAGAAGCGCTGATAAGCCAGTATCAAACCCCACAATCCAAATTCGACATACTCAGGGATTTGTTAGAAAGGAAACAAAGGCCAAATGAAAGCATCAATAGTTATTTTCACGAGATGGGAATTTTGCGATCTAGATTACTTCAACCTATTTACGAGTACGAAATGATTAAGATCCTAAGGGGAAATATACGTGAAGATATAAAACGACATGTATATCAGATGACCATTTCGTCGGTTGAACAGCTACGAATAGAATGTATTGAAGCTGAGAGAAATTTCCCTAGGCGCGAAAATAGAGCTGTAACGTTCCCCCAGCGACCTATCCGCCAAGTAAATGAAATATATGATGAAATTTATGAAAAGCATGTAGAAGTACCGGAGGAGAATATTGGTGAAGAGCTGTCAGCTATCCGGATACAAAGCCACATTAGAGTTCCAATTATCTGCTGGAACTGTCGAGAAAAGGGGCATGTTTTTATGGACTGTCCAGTAGAAGTCCGGAAATTGTTCTGCTATAGGTGTGGGAAGCCGGACACAGTAACCCCAAAGTGTCCTGTCTGTCAACAGGGAAACTCCCGAAGGGGTGTGGAAGTAACAGGGGAAACACACCCGTCAGAGAACCCTGTGAATCGGAAGAATTAGCACCCAAAAACGTCCGAATTTTAATAAAAAACAACGATAATATATTTAGAGATAAGAGTAGTGTAGAATCGAAAAATTTTTCTGCAGGTCAGAGGCATTACATTCCATTAGAAGATCGCCAAAGAAATTATGCTAAGGTCAAGGAGAGAATTTTTAACTCAGAGTTTACTGTAATCCCGAAAAAAATTATTGAATTGAGACAAAAATCCAAGAAGTGGCGTGAGCAGCGAAGATATTTGATAGAAACTATTTCGAGAGTGACTGGTATTGCCTCAGATCCCAGAGTTTTCTCGGAAATCAGTATGCAAGGAAAAATCATGAATGGGCTCCTAGACACCGGCGCTTCGGTTACTATGTTAGGGAAAAATTGCCGAGAGATAATAGAAGAACTTGGCATTCCAATTATACCAATGTCCAGCAGGGTAACCACCGCCGGAGGTACACAGTATAATGTTTTAGGGAAAATTAAAGCCATCATAAAATACCAAGAGCAGGAAAAATTTATGACACTGTATCTATGTCCTCAATTGGAACAAGAACTATATCTTGGAATAGACTTCTGGCGAACATTCGAATTAGCCCCTGATGTGATAGGAGCTGCTGAAATTAATATAGAAAAAGTTTTCAGGGATATGACTGCTACGGGTCCCGACTACAAACTCAACCCTCACGAGTTAACAAATGATCAAGAGAATCGATTAAAATGCATAGTAAAAAAATTCAAGACCTTTGAAGAAAATGGGATAGGTTGTACTAGTTTAGAAAAGCATTCGATTAAGCTCGTGGAAGGTGCGGAACCGGTTAAAGACCGCCACTATCCAATGTCTCCAGCGGTTCAAGCTATCACGTACCAAGAAGTCGATAATATGTTAGCACTTAATGTTATTGAGGAAAGTGAAAGCCCTTGGAGCAATCGTACAACTATCGTACGAAAGCCCGGAAAAAATCGTTTCTGTCTGGATGCTCGAAAGTTAAATAAGCTCACGGTCAAGGACGCATATCCCCTGCAAAACATTGAAGGAATACTAAGTCGCATTGATGAAACTCATTACATTAGCAGCGTGGATCTTAAATATGCGTTCTGGCAAATCGAATTAGACGAAGAAAGCAAGCCGTACACCGCTTTTACGGTCCCAGGCCGTCCATTGTATCAATTCCGTGTGATGCCGTTTGGATTGTGTAATGCTGCACAAAGGTTATGTCGACTGATGGACAAAGTCATTCCCCAACGACTCAAGGAGAATGTCTTTGTGTACCTGGACGACCTGTTGATTATTTCAAGTGATTTCGACGAGCATCTTCGTCTATTGAATGAAGTAGCCGATTGCCTTGACCGAGCGAATTTAACAATCGGGTTAACCAAGTCAAAATTTTGTTTTCGTCAGTTGAGATATTTGGGATTTATTATTGGAGAAGGCATGTTGCGTACTGACCCCGAAAAAGTAGAAGCAATTCGAAAAATTAGAATTCCCAAAAGTGCTAGGGAAGTGAGAAGTTTTCTGGGTACAGCAGGATGGTACCGAAGATTTATTAAAGACTTCGCGTCACTTTCAGCTCCCCTTACTGATACCCTGAAGAAATCGCCCAAATTCGTAATTACGGACAAGGCAAAGGAGGCATTTGAAAACTTAAAGAGGGCCTTAACTTCCGCACCGGTGTTACGCCACGCAGATTTTTCCAAACCCTTTTTTATTCAATGTGATGCTTCGGAATATGGCATCGGCGCTGTTCTATTTCAGCTGAATGCCGAAGGACATGAGCATCCGATCGCTTTCTATTCGAAAAAGCTCAATAAGTGTCAGAGAAATTATAGCGTGACAGAGAAGGAATGCTTGGCGGCGGTGATGGCTATCAAAACTTTCCGTCCTTACGTGGAGCTAATGGAATTCACCGTGATAACAGATCACGCTAGTTTACAATGGCTGATGAGTCTAAAGGACCTCAGTGGTCGTTTAGCTCGCTGGTCATTGCAACTTCAGGGATTTAACTTCAAAATCGAGCACCGAAAAGGAAAGGAAAATGTTGTCGCCGATATGCTATCCCGCCTACCCAATGCCGACGAAATAGACATGAATCGGGTTTTTGAATTCGAGACCACCGAGTTTGAAAGTGATTCGTACAAACAGCTTAGAGAAATTATTGCAAATAAAAAGGAGAATCTCCCCGATCTAAAGATTGTCGACAATATGGTATTTAAAAGAGATCACAAGTCCTATAACCCAGAAACACAAGAGTTTCAGTGGAAATTGTGGGTCCCAGAGTCTTTGACCCATTCTTTAATAGAGCAAGCCCATGATAGAACGACGTCAGCTCACGGAGGCATATCAAAAACCATTTTTCGTTTAAGAGAAAAATATTACTGGCCTCTAATGGTATCCCAGGTTAGGCAATATGTGTCTAAATGTACTGTTTGCAAAGAGACAAAGCCTACCAATGAAAATACTCAGCCTCAGATCGGAAATGAAGTCGTGACAAATCTTCCCTTCCAGAAACTCTACGTTGACTTCCTCGGGAAATACCCCCGGTCTAAAAGTGGCAACGCCTTTATATTTATAGTGGTGGACCACTTTAGCAAATTTACATTTCTTAAGGCAATGAAAGAGGCAACAGCTTCCAATGTGGTAAAATTTATGGTTGAGGATATATTTCGTAAGTTTGGCGTACCCGAGACGATACATTCCGACAATGGGGCACAGTTCGTATCTAAAACTTTCAAAGACATGATTGAAACATATGGAATCAATCATATCCAAACAGCTCCATATGCTCCGCAGTCTAATGCATCTGAGAGAGTCAATCAATCAGTATTGGCGGCGATTAGGGCATATCTAGAAAATGACCACAGAGATTGGGACCTGTATCTAACAGACATAGAGTGCGCCTTAAGAACATCGATTCATACTGCAACTGGTGTAACGCCATTTTTCGCGCTGTTTGGTCATAGTATGTATACCCATGGTTCAGATTATAAATTAGCTCGGAAGCTCCACTCATTGGCGGACCATGAAATTATACATTTAGATCGTAACGACAAGATGGAACTAATCCGAAATAAAATTAGACAGAATATGCATCAGGCTTATCAACAAAGCGCAAAAAGGTATAACGCAAGGGCTCGTACGATTATTTTCTCTCCGGGGCAAGAGGTATATAAAAGAAACTATGTTCTTAGCGATTTTGGGAAAAATTTTAATGCTAAGTTTGCCCGGAAATTTACGAAGTGTCGTATAGTAAAGCCCATAGGAAATAATATGTATTCTCTCGAAGATCTAAATGGAAAGGCGATTGGAATCTGTCATGCAAAAGATCTTAAAAGATAAGTGGAAAAGAAAGTCTGTTCAATCCCCTTTCCCAATTCAATTTTTATAAAAAGAATTCTAAAATAACTTTCAAAAACTATTTCACATTTGGTACCAATTCTATATCACATTTATCAGCAATTGTTTAATTCAAAATCGAATGAATCAAAACAAAACATAGAAAATGTGTCTGATGAAACTAAATACGATAGTAAAATCACCTTCGTACTGAATTCATTCGTATTAAGGTTCAAAAATATCAGCTGATCTGTTCCCCTAATTGGGTAATTCAAAGTAATCAGACTCTAGTTTCACGTTTATCACAGCTGTCTAATTTCTTTTACAAAATATTCTACGCGACATACAAATTTGAAAAAAAAAAAAAAAAATTTTACTCAAACACACCCGGTGGCGATAAAAATAGCACAATCTGGTTTATTCCGGCATAAATTAATGAAAGATTCCCATACATAAAAAGCGAACATACATAAAACTACATTCTACCAGACAATCACGTAGACACCACGATTATGGTATTTGTTTACCTATCAATCACATCAGCAAATACCGCATACAAAATCCGTTCTTCGGCAACCACGACGACAAGACAGGCATAGGCACAAATATTTCCGCATGCAAAATGTTTCACCACCTATTAAGGAATGAAAGTTATTAAATGTTCAAAACAAACAAAAAAGTACCGAAATACATTCCTAGGGCTATGCCCGCTTTCTGTCAAAATACTTCAAAATTGTATGCGACAAAATGTTTTGATAATTGTTGTTATTTTTTGAATGCGTTATTGAACGCACGGATTTTTTTTCAAAAATGTGATCCAAACTGTTTATTCCTTCAATTCCAGGACAAAACAGGGTAATATTTTGAACGCCGGCCACGCAGTGTTCGTTTTTCCAAACATTGACCTTGAAAATATTTTTTTTTATTTTCAAAACAAATAATACACAATAATGACAGAAGTCGGGCACACTTGGGAAAAAAATTGTAATCAGCTTTCAGATCTACCTTACTTTTTTATTGTACCATGATTTCAATAATTTGATCAAATTATTTGTGTATCAAAGTACGTATAGATTCCAACTTTGAAGATTATATCCATAACCAAGAAGAATGTGTGAAATTTTGATGAAATCGGAGAATTTTTCATTTAGAGCTGTTGGGTGTTACCAGTGTGGATCCGCCAGAGAGGACAAATATATTCCAACTCCACACAAGGTCTTGGGTTGGTAGAATTATTGGGTTGTTCCGGATGTTTACCTTTTTGTAGTGAAGGTCCCAAAGGAGTGGGCCGATAAATCCCATCCGTTCCTCTGAACTTGTCTTAGTAGAAATACTGAATGCGGGATTTTATAAATAACCGAATGCGTATTGTAAAATTTATGAGCGTTTTTGATCTTCCCAAATGTTGACCTGCTATAGGGGAATTACCAGCGAGTTTCCCGGACTCGGAACTCGATCGATGTTTGGTAGTGACACGATATTTTCAGGGTGTCGGATCGAGAATTATCAGGCGAACTAGCAAGACATGTTTCACAGATCTGATGGACAGATTAGAAAAATAAATTAATTTATGTGGTTCTATTTCGATGGGGGATATTTACCAGCATGAGGGGGAGGGCTTTGACCAGCCTGCTGTTCGGAGCTTATGCCCGGCATGAGACCTTCAGGGAGTGGGATGTCCCCACGTAAATGAGTAATGCGGCCGTGCACATCACCTCCGTCCTCGATTTTGTGGCCGAAGTTGAAGTTTTGTTGCAGGCCGTTCACATTCGGCGCAAAAAGGCAACAAATATATGGGGCCGGGTTTTTTGGCAAAACCTGTCCACAACCACCGCAGAAATTATCCCAATTCTGTTGGTAGTGCATCCCATAATTGGTCCTCAAATGGATTTGCTCAGTTTTCTTGGGTTTTTAGTGAGGATGGTGAGGATGCTTCGAGATTTCAATTTGCTTGTAATTTCTGCGGGGTGTGTAGTCTGGGTGGCGATGGGATCAAAATGCCGGAAATGGTTTGATAGGGTTCGCTACGTACGAAATTAGGCTCGAACAGGGTTGAGTTAAAGAGTATTATAAAGGTAGTGAATGACAGGGTGACTCAGGCTAAGAAGTGACTAGGCAGCCCTATGATTGCTGAGTAGGTGGGAACCTACTACTACTCCGGGGTGAGCTGAAATGAGAATTCACAATAGAATAAAAAATGGCTATTGACAGTTGAAAAGAAAAAGGAATGAAAATTGAAAATGGCTCAGGAAAATGGTGTTTCGTGGAAAATGAGCGTCTGGCGGGATTCACTGAGAAGAGGGGTATAAAAGGCTGCGAGCATAAGAAAAGCCAAAGTTAAGAATAAGACGTTACCGGTGAAACTTAGCTAGAGAGCAGTGAAGAAGTGGAAAAATTTAATTTGTGTGTTGCGTTTTTTTTATTGTGTAAGTAGTTTGTAACAGTGGTTTGTTGAGTAATGTGTTGTTATATGTGATGTGTGTTGCTCCAACAGGAATATTCCGGTGGTGTATCAAGCTTTTTTGGAAGCACCGAAAATTGTCCGGTTTTGGTCAGCACAACGGCGGGAAATTGCCTTTTCTTTTTGGTAACGCAAGGTAGTGGCAAGTTGTCCACAGGAGAAAAAAGCCAAAAAAAGTTACATTGAGGGTGTGGAGATTTGAATTGTAAACTGGCCAGCTGCAACTTTGAGCTTTTTGCTGTGCCTGTTATTGATCCCGCCCAGAACGCCGGCATTGTAAAAGGACCAGTCAACAAGTCCAGCTTCATTTCAGGGTTTGCCTGGCGTTCAAAATCTGTTTCCTCCGGAAAGAAGCGTAAACTGGAAGAAGAGATAAGAAGAATTAATCAATAACGTTATAAATCACTGCTCAGGTAAAAGGTGTCTTACCGTTGTGTTGTCCTTGATAGATATATTTATATATATATGTGACGTCCATAAAATTTGCTGTCTCCTTTTTTGGAACTAAAAGAAAAGAAAAAAAGAGTTAATAATCATAAATTTCGAGAAAAAAAATATAATATTCAGTATAAAGATTTAGTAATAAGATAGGTTATAGTTCTTAGGATTTAAGTAATAATCAGTTTGTAAGGGAAAAATACCGCGTTTATTTTCAAAGGCTAGGAGGTGTTACAGTAAAATTATCTTGAGTCCTTGTGATTCGATCTGATAGTTTAGGCCGTGGAATTTTAGCGGCAATTAGGCCGGTTAAGAGAGCTCTTTTAGGTGGCTAGTAATTTCGTATAGACGCGTGAATATTGCGCGGGAAAAGCAAGGCAAAGGATAATATATTGGTTTCTACCGAGTAATTAAAGCCATAGATTTAAGAAAGCCCGGTATTATTCTTAATTTGTTTTTTTTTTATACCATACAGTTTGTCAATTTTAGTGTAAGAAAAAAAATAGTAGAGAAAAAAATTAAGAAAATATTTAAAGCTAACTTATTTTTTTTTAATAAAATTAAAAATGATTCTTTTGTAAACAGTAGATACTAATATGTGTTGCTAAATTTGTATAACTTGAGGGGGGAAGGTGGTATGAAGTAAGTGTGTGATTCAAAGCGTGTGGTTCAAGGGGATTCAGAGAAACGCAAGAAATGGAAATACTGGATCCAGGTAGGGTGGGCGAGTGTGGGATCGATCCACCGAGATCCCTGTATGATGACTCCTATTTTGTATATCGTAGAGTAGAGCAATTGTAGTAAAGTCCCCTTTCAATGTTAGTGTGTTGGATTCGATTGGCGGGTTGAGATCCCTAGCCCTGGGAGTCTCTGTGACAGTCGGATGGCCTAATCGTATGCCGAGCAAATGCACACATAACAAATTTGAAAAATCCAAAATTAAATAAATAACTTAACATCGGTAGCTATGTTGTTACAATATCGTAACAACAGAGGAATTTTCACAGGGTTGCCATATTTTGACTCTGTTTTGTCCCATCTTTATACTTCTATGTCTTTGCATTCCTCCTCTACGAAGAAGCCATCCAATGACTTAAGCCAGTCAGAGAAGCCTTTTATGTACTCTCATCTTAAGTCAGCGGTTGGTTTCTTCCGAAAAGAACATAGGCCCATGGCAGAAGAATACAGGTAGATGCATCAACGCTTGGGTGCATTGATATGTCAAAAAATTGTAAATGTGTTTTTCAAATATAACTAGATTTTTATATGTTTTCTTATAATGCGTCATTCGGGGGCTATTATAATTCGCGTTTTTCAACAATTTTTACAAATTTAAATAATTTTTCATTCAACATTTTAAATTCCGAAATTGGTTTGGCAGTTCATTTCCCAGTAGCTGTTTCGACGCGTCTACCTATATTCTTCTACCATGCATAGGCCTAAGGCCAAAATCGAACTGAGACACCCTAAAACTCTTTTTTTCAAAGAAGTCAGCCGACGACTTCAACTGTGTCGATGCGGTTACCTGTATTCTTCTACTTCGCCTATAAACAAACGCATATCATTATTCGATCTATAGACACCTATTGATGCCTTATCTTATCAATAGAGACAACGCAGATGTTTTAACTCATCCAATGAGTCCACGCTGACCCTCTAAAATTATTATACGATGGTAAATTGATGATAAAATTAAGAAGTTAAAGTCAGCATACCCATCTCTGTATTTTCTGTAATTTATCTTGTCAAATTTCACTGCACAAAAAAATAGGTTCCCATCTCTGATTTCTATAAATACAATGGATTTATAAATAAATATTTTACAAGTGAAATGTTGTCAAATGAATAATTTTGGAAAAATTGTGAACCTATGATTTCATGACTTTACCTTCGTGATTGTGGATTATACAAATCACACAGACCTTTTATCCCGCCTAAAGAGACAACGCTGATTCTTTAGCTCGTTTAAGAAATTTTCAATGACAATTCAGACTTGATCTGCCAGCTGTGTCTGAACACTTCCATACCTCAAATTTTCATGTACCGTGCCTTCATATTCGGTTTATTTCACTTCGTATAAAACGGCTAGTTTCTAGTTTACACCTTATCAGTTTCATTCACAACTCAATATTACTATTCCGAATGGTTGAAGCATAAGTGACGATATTTCGCAAACTATTGTCACTGTATTTGTTTGCCTTTCAACGGCAAAGAAATAAGAAAAAGAAGAGATTGTGATATTTAAAAATATAACAAACCGCAAACACTGCTGCGGATGTTGGCGATTCTGGGTATTCTAAGCGATCGTTCAGTTACTATTCGAACAGCACAATGAAAGCAAGCTCTTGTCTGGCCTACCTTATCCTTAACGCTTTACTGTGGCATGGAGCCGTGGCGGAGGAAGAAGATTCGGAAACGAATGTTTACAAAACCGGAACTTATAAATATTTCATAGAACCCAAGAATCAAGTAAGGGATGTGGTGGGGGAAAATGAGGTTTCCAAGTAATTATATATATTTTTTTGGATTTTCTTTCCAGTATACCTGGCAGCAAGCCTTGGACGAGTGTAAGAAGAAGAAAATGAGCCTGGTGACCATTGATAGCGAAGAAAAGGCCAATGATGTGAAAACTGTTTTGAATGAAGCTTTTCTGTGTAAGTGTTAAAGGTGCTATCAGACGTTAAGGGTTTTACATATGTAGTGCCAAAAATTTCCATATGTAGAAGTTGCACATATCGTGTGATACATAGACGAGATTTCAGTTGTGAAATGCATGAGTAAAGTACGCATCATGGCAGAAGAATACAGGTAGTTGCATCGACACAGTTGCTGGTGCAATTAACTGTCAAACAGATTTTATAATTAAAAATGTTGAATGAAAAATTATTGAAATTTGTTAAAAATTGTTGAAAAATGCAAATTTCTACTTATTTTTGATAAAACATTTTAAAAATGTTTGACATATCAATGTTTCCAAGCGTATTCTTCTACTATGGTACCTATGTTATTTTTCGATCACAGCGATCCCTATTTTTCGTAGGAAAATATATGCTCTGTTCCACAACTGGCAAGAATCTATTAATTTTAGAACTCTTTTCGATATCATAAAGGGAAAATCAGTTATCGAAGTAAAAAGTTTAGATTCTTGCAGTTCTGGAACAAAATCCGATGAAAAATGCAAAATCCGATTTGCGTCGTATAAGAAAACGTATAAAAATCTACTTATTTTTGACAAAACATTTTAAAAATGTTGGCATATCAATGTTTCCAAGCGTATTCTACTACCATTGCACGGATGAACTTTTTCGATCACAGCGATCCCTATTTTGGTGGGGAAAATATATGCTCTGTTCCACAACCGGCAAGAATCTATAAATTTTAGAATTCTTTTCGATATCAAAGAGGGAAAATCAGTTATCGAAGTAAAAAGTTTTAGTTTCTTGTAATTCTGGAACAGAAAGTACATTTCCGAAAAAAAGTCTTCCATAAAATGTTATATTTTTTGGAAAAAATAAAAAGAAATAAAAAAGCATATGCAAATGTGTGATAGCATGAATTATGAGTCATATGTAAAATGACAATTTTGACATACACACGCAAATACACATGGACAATAAAAGTGACAGCACATACATGGCAGAAGAATACAGGTAGATGCAACAACGCTTGGGAGCATTGATATGTCAAAAAAATTTAAATGTTTTTTTCAAATATAAGTAGAATTTTATATGTTTTCTTATACTACGTCATTCGGAGGCTATTATAATTCGCGTTTTTCAGAAATTTTTAAAAATTTTAATAACTTTTCATTCAACATTTTCAATTCCAAAATTGGTTTTGCAGTTCATTGTCCCAGCAGCTGTGTCGATGCGTCTACCTATATTCTTCTACCATGGTACACATGTACTTTTTCGAAACCCATGGTAGAATTAAGAGAGAATGTCAGGCAATCATATGTTTAATTTTTTTTTTCAAAATTATTTATTTGACAACATCTCTTTGTCAAAATGTTTATTTATAAATCCATTATACACACATGAATCAGAGATGGGAACTAGTTTTCTATGCAGCGAAATTTGTTCAGATAAATTACAGAAAATGTAGAGATGGGTGTTTGAAATTACTTTACCTTCTTAATTTTACCATGGGCTGACTTTATCGAAAATGAACAAAGGAGTTTTAGGTTGACTTAGTTCGAATTTGGCCCATAAAATTAAATTTTATATATTTTCACACAACAAACAAATAACACTTTGGCTTAAATTAAATTTTTCCAATGAAAATAGGGCTCGCTATGATCGAAAAATTACATATAAATTTTACTCATGTATTTCACAACAAAAATGTCATCTATGTATCACACGATATGTATAACTTGTACATATGGAAAATTTTGACACTACAAATGTAAAAAAAAAAACGTATAAAAATGTCTTCTTCCTCTCTCTCTCTCTCTTCCCTGCAGTCCTCAAGAAACCCATACCCCGTCTGTATATCGGTGCCAATGATCTGGATGAGTTCCGTGAATTTATATGGATCTCCAAGGGTGATGTCTTCAGATATACCAATTGGGAAAAAGGAGAACCGAATAATTATAAGAAATTAAATGAACGCTGTGTCCATATCGGTTTCCATGGCGATGAGAAATGGAATGACATTAACTGTAGTCGAAAATATGGCTTCATTTGTGAACAAGTGCTGGGCGTCGAAGAGCTGTCCGAATTGGTGGTGAAGGCTTAATTCTTAATATCTAAGGTTATTGTGGAACAAAAGTGTAAAATTAAGGCAATAAAAGGGGAATGATAAAAATTCAAACTCAAAAAAAAAAAAATAAAATGTGAACTTTTTAAGGGTTTCCCTGGATGGTAAACTGTCTCTAAGAAAAAAAAAACATGGTAGAAAAATACGGGTAGATGCGAAAACTCTCGGGAACATTGATATGTCAAAAATGTGTGTCAGAAATTTTTTGTTAAAAAATTAATTGATTTTTATAAGTTTTCTTATAGGTTGGCATTCGGAGGTTGTTGTGATAGAAATATTCAAAAAATTTTAATATTTTTCCAATCAAAATTTTCAATTTCAAAATTAATTTGACAGTGTATTGTCCAAACAGCTGTGGCGATACAACAACCCATGGTAAAATGAAGAAGGTAATGTTATTTCAAATAAGTGTACCCATCTCTGCATTTTCTGTAATTTGACTTGTCAAATTTTACTTCGTAGAAAACAGGAATTCATAAATACACATTTTGACAATGAAATGTTGTCAAATGAAAATTTTTGAAAAAAAAAAATTGTAAACATATGATTGCAGGACTTTACCTTCTTAATTCTACGATGTGACTACCTGGGACTGGATTCTTGTTCTATGAAAATATGAAATGAAAAATATTTATTTTATAAAATTGTTCATTTGATATTTCTTTCCTTTATAAAAGAACAAGAATTAAGGCCCGGTATCCTTTTACCACGACGAAAACTAAACACAATGTGCTTTCAGCTTGCTTGTATGTAACAACACAATACAAAAGCACAGTGAAGAGAAAAAGAACGGTGAAAGAGAAAGATTCCAATGAACAATATTTAAACGGAACTATTTGAAACAGTTCCTTGTATTTAGGAACTAGTTCCTTTTGAGAAAAGGATCGATGGAGTTCGATTTGCTTTGTGAACTATATTTTCCAACTCTAGTATGCAAAGAGCTTCAGTTTTTTTGATAAACAAAGCCATGTCTATACCTTAAGGCTGGAAAATCAACTTTGGCGCCCAAGTTCAGATTTATAGACAACGTTTGTCCTTTAAAGCTGCTATCAGACGATAAGGGTTGTACACATGGTACAATGAAATAAAGGTAACCTCATTTCAAGTTAGCATTCCCAGCTCTGCATTTTCTGTAATTTACATTGTCAAAATTTTAATGCTTAATAAACAGTTCCCATCTCTGATTTTGTGTGTATACAAAGGAACTACAATTGTACAACTGTAGAAGGCAATGAGCTTCATTTTTTTGATAAACAACGCCATGTCTAATATTAAGGCTGAAAAGTCAACTCTGTCGCCCAAGTTCAGCTTTATAGGCAACGTTTGTCCTTTAAAGCTGTTATCAGATGATAAGGGTTGTACACATGGTACAATGAAATAAAGGTAACCTCATTTTAAATTAGCATTCTCAGCTCTTCATTTTCTGTTATTTACCTTGTCAAAATTTTAATGGATAAAAAAAGAGTTCCCATCTCTGATTTTGTGTGAATACAATGGATTTATGAAAATAGATTTTGACGATGAGATGTTGTATGTATCATGGTACAATAAGGAGGTAGAACAGCTTCTTAAAACTAAAGAAATGCAGCACTGAGGCCCGCTTCCTGCCAGAATTACTCAATATTATTTGCAACAAGTTGTTTTCATTTATTCGAAATTATTTGCTTATTTTTAAAATGGGTCAAACAGCGCGAAAGATGAATGAAATGCCTGGATGTTCTCTTATAAATATGATCCTAAGTGCTTAATCTTCAATTCCGTGGTAAATCTGGTTAATATCATTAATGCGCGCCCCGCAATTTGAGTTTCTTCCAATCATTGATTTTGAAAAATTTTTGTTTGTATTTTTCAAAACAACAAATACATACACAAAATTGACAGAAGTCGCACACACTTAGAAAAAAAAATTGTAATCAGCTGGTAGCTCTGCCTTACCTTTTCATTTTACCATGGTATGTATGTATAAATTTAAAAAAAAATTGTTAACATATGATTACGTGATTTTACCGTCTTAGTTCTACCATGGATTGTACATATGTGTTCAATTGTTTTAATAAAATAATTCTTGAACTTATTTTGATTCTATTTTTGCTTAAAAATTATTAAATGCGTTTGATTTCAACACAGGAAAGTTATTTAAAAATTCTCTTAAGAATATCATTTTCATTATTTTGCCATCTATGGTTTTATTTATGCAAAAGAAGGGAGAGAGAGGGAGAAAAGAGCTGATTCGTTTTCGCTCTCTCTCCTATGTACTCATCAATTTCTCATAAACATTGTTTGTGTGTGCCTTGCCAGTCAGACAGTTATCATCTTCAGTTAAATAAAACTGTATGGTCACATATCGAATTCTATTTTTTGCTTAAAAAATATTAAAAGAGTTATAATTCAACACAGGAAAGTTATTTAAAAATTCTCTTAAGATTATATCTATCATTATCTGGCCCATCCATGGTTTTATTTATGGAAAAGAAGGAAGAGAGAGGGAGAAAAAAGCTCATTTGCTTTCGCTCTCTCTCCTATGTACTCATCAATTTCTTATAAACATTGTCTGTGTGTTTCTTGCCAGTCAGACAGTTATCATCTTCAGTTAAATAAAGCTGTATGGCCACATATCGAATTAGTAAAACAAAATGTCATTAAACTCGAATTTTCCTTAAAATTAATGATATTTACATGGTAGAATTGAGAAAGAAAATCATATTTTTTCATTTTTGTTGATGAAGTGAAATGAAGTTACATTTGACAAGGTAAATTGCAGAAAATGCTGAGTTGGATGCCTGGTTGATGAATACAGGTAGATGCATCAACGCTTGGGAACATTGATATGTCAAAATAAGAAAGCATATGCCGGTGTGTAATAGCAAATATTATGAGTCATATGTAAAATTGCAATTTTAACATATACGCGGAAATACATAAGGATAATAAAAGTGAGAGCACATATGTAAAACCCTTATATTCGGATAGCAGTTTTAGTAATGGAAATGACAATTTTAATCCAAATCGATTGTGTTAATCCCTTTATATGTAACCGTACTCTAAGGGAGAATGGAGAGAAAATTTATTGCCATCATTTTACAAAAATATTCTCCAAACCCGTTCATAGTTTATACGATTTTGTGGGACTGTGTATATGGTTAATAAAGTCATACTTCGGATAGCATACTCTGCTGATGATGGGAACAACTTAAACCAGAAAAAGTACTTAATTCCCTCTTTCCTTGGAATATATCATGACAAAATTAATGAGTTAAAGTAAATTCAAATAAGGTTTTCCATCTTTGCATTTTTTAAAATTTACCTTGTGTCAAATTTCACTGCATAGAAAGCACGTTCCCATCTCTGATTTGTGTATCTACAATTGATTTATAAATAAGCATTTTGACAATGAGATGTTTTCAAATGAATAATTTTGAAAAAAAATGTAAATATATAATTGCGCGACTTTACTTTCTTAATTCTACCATGGAATATATTTGTCCTGAAAATTTTTGATATATTTTTAGCATCATTTAATTAAAACCTCAATCCTTTATTAAAAATAATCCATCAACAGTGATTCAGTTGTAATTTTTAAATCTCTGTGATTAAGTAAAAAATATTATTTTCAAATCTTTTATGTATTTTTTTTTTTTGCTTTCAATATTTAAGTATTTTTTATGCAATTTCTCTGGTTGCGATTAAAAAAGCCAAGTCTCAATTGCGATAAGAAAACCAAAAAAAAAAAACACACAACCACAAACAGACGGCAAGAACAATTGCCCGGTCCCGCTATGTAAATATATATCGTGTTTTAGTTATTTGCGTGGCGTTATGGCGCGTAGATCGTTGTTAGTTGCCGCGTGCATTTGTTGCATTGCCATCGGCATTGTACGGGCCAAGCTGTATACCTCAACACAAAATAATACATATTTTATTGAAGCGCGTCATAAGGTATGGAGAAATTTTCGATAAAGAGGAGGAGGAGGTTTTATGGAAAGATTAATGGAGGATTTAATGGGACTTGGAAGCAGGAGTTGTTGGCGATAAAAAATTAGGTTTTTCTTTGAAGACTAAAAAGTGAAGTTTATAGAAGTTGTAATCCTTATTGATAAGGAGTACTGAAAAATATATGGTCTGTTCCAGAACTGCAAGCATGTAAAGGTTTTTTTTTTACTACGATAACCGATTTGTCACTCTATGATATCGAAAAAAATGTAAAACTTGTATATACTTGCAGGTTTTGGAACAGAACAAGACTTATCTACGCTTCTTAAGGTGAGAATACATAGAGCGCTTTTTTTGGCTGGCTTAAGTCATCGGCTGGCTTATTCATAGAGAAGCAAAGGAGTTTTAGGTTGACTTAGTTCGATTTTGGCCCTAGGTTGGCTTAGTTCGGTTTTGGTCATACGCTCCTTTGTTTTTTTTTTTTTTCAAAGAACCCAGCCGATGACTTAAGTCAGACAAGAAAGCGTTCAACGTATTCTTACCTTTAAGATGCCCTTATAAACGATTGAAATTATGAATTTGTGGTCGATGAAATTCTCCAATCAAATGACAAATACGACTGAAAGTGGATCAGTATTTGTAGATATTAGACATTTTAGCATTTCTGCGCTGCTGCAGAACTGAAAGAATATAAAAGCTTTGTACTACGATAACCGGTTTCCTTTTATGATATCGAAAAAAATTGCAAAACTTGTAGATACTTGCAGGTTCTGGAACAGAGAAGACTTATATACGCTTCTTAAGGTGAGAATACATAGAACGTTTTTTTTTTTGGCTGGCTTAAGTCATCGGTTGGCTTCTTCGTAGAGAAACAAAGGAGTTTTAGGTTGACTTAGTTCGATTATGGCCACAGGTTGATTTAGTTCGATTTTGGTCATACGCTCCTTTGTTATTTTCCAAAGAAGCCAGCCGATGACTTAAGTCAGACAAAAAAGCCTTTTATGTATTCTCACCCTAAGGTGTCCTTGTAAAGGATTGAAATTATGAATTTGTGGACTGTGAAATTCTCCAATCAAATGAAGAATACTGACTAAAGGTGAATCGGTATTTGTAGATACTAGATATTTTTGCATTTGTGCTCTGCTCCAGAACTGCAAGAATATAAAAGCCTTGTACTACAATAACAGATTTTTCCTTTATGATATCGAAAAAAAATTGCAAAACTTGTAGATACTTGCCGGTTCTGGAACTGAGCAAGATTTATATACGCTTCTTAAGGTGATAATACAATGAACGCTTTTTTTGGCTGGCTTAAGTCATCAGCTGAGCACTTTGTAGAGAAACAAGGGAGTTTTAGGTTGACTTAGTTCGATTTGGGTCCTAATTCAAAATTTATTTATTTATGTTTACAAATCCATTGCATACACACAAATCAGAGATGGGAACCTATTTTCTATACATTTAAGTTTGACAAGGTAAGTTACCAAAAATACAGAGATGGGAATGCTTATTTGAAATGACTTTACCTTTTTAATTTTACCATGGATTTTCAATTAATGATATCAAAAAAATAAAATAAATAAAACTAATAGATTCTTTCAGAACTTTTAAGGTGAGATTACATAAACAGCTTGAAATCTTGGCATGACATATTTTGTGACATGTGGATGTCAGAGCCGCACTCGAATTCTGCCGTCGTTTCCCCTTATAATTTAACATTAATATGCGTAGTCATGATGTCAAGCTTTTTATGTACTCACACCTTTAATTCTCGATTTCAAACATTTCAATATTACCATAAAATCATTATTTCAAATAAGAATATACATCTCTGCATTTTCTGTAACCTATCTTGTCAAATTTTACTCCATTGAAAATTGGTTCTATGGTAGAGTAATACAGGTAGTCGCATCGACACAGCTGCTGGGACAATGAACTGTCAAATCAATTATTGAAATTGGAAATATTGAATGAAAAATTGTTAAAAATCGTTTTGATAGATGAAAAATAAATAAATAAAATAATAAATAAATAAATTTAAAAAAAAATTAAATTTTTTGACATATCAATGTTCCCAGGTTTTCCATGGTGACACATCATATAAAGGAAAACCAGAGCCGCACTCAAATCCTGCCGTGGGTTTTCCTTAAATTTTTTTTACATTAATATTTGTAGCCACGATGCCAAGATTTTTATGTACTCACACCATTATTTCTCGATTTCAATATTTTCAATATAACCTTAAAATAATGTTTTTTCTCCTCTTTTTTCACAGTACAATTGGTTTCAATCGCAAAACCAATGCACTTTACAAAACATGACCCTGCTGAGCATTGAAAATGCCGATAAAAATCGGGAGATACACGATTTAATTAATGAAAACTTTAAAGGTTTGCAAAATTTATCTTTTTCTTGACATTGCATATCAAATATTAAATTCCTCTCTCTCTCTCTCTTTCGCCAGATAAGGAGAAACCTTTGCTCTATATTGGCGCCAATGATTTGGCAAATTTGAAACATTTTTGTTGGACAAAAACAGGTCTGGAATTTGACTATACCAACTGGAGTGAGGGGGAACCGAATAACTATGGTGGCAACGAACATTGTGTCCATATTGGCCTCTATGATGATGACACCTGGAATGATGTGGATTGCTCGATGCGTTTTGGTTACATTTGTGAAGAGAACAAAAAATAAAAGCCAAAATGAGAAAAATATGGTGAAATTAAAAATTAAAATATTTAAAAAATATAAACTTGTGTTCGAAAAATATTCTTAAAACTTACTGAAATTTCTCACATTGGATCTGCAACACTTACAAGAGACAAACTTCAAATTTTACAAAACAAGTAAAAAAGCTGTAAGGGTGGGAATATATAAAGCGCCTTTTTATTTATGAATTCATTTTCCATGGACATAGCATCTCTAAAGAAATTAATAACTCAACAACATATGTTTACATAAGTTGATGTGTGGCCATACAGCTTAACTTTAGTCTAGTCGTATGAAAATAAGGCTATAGAAATAATAAATCAATGACATTTGTTTACATAATTTGATGTGTGGCCATACAGCTTTAGTTCAGTTTAGTCCTATGGAAATAAGGCTCTGTTTACACCATAAATTGCCAAAATAATAATAGAGAACTTTAACTTTCTTTAACTATTATTTTATTTTTTTTAGAAAAAAATATAAATAATATTATTCACATTGGGTTTACTAACTTCTCTAAAATTAGATATGTATAAACGCAAAAATAAAAACTCCATCTTGGTAATAAATGATTAAAATTTTACACAAGTTTTTTTTATTTGATACCAAATATCTACTCATAGTAGAATTATGAAGGGAATCTTCCATCATATAATTTTGCAATTTTTGTAATTAAAATTAAATTTTAAACCTTTGATGGTTGCTGTTGCCGAAATCAAGAATTATTAATTGTGAATTTGATATAATATATTTAACTAATTGTGCAACGAATTTTTATTTAAAGTTTAAATTAATATTTTTTTTTAAATTTAAATTAATTTTTTTTTGTGAGGAACAGCTATCATTTGTCAGTGATTTGATTACCATTTCCCGTGCTTAAATAACGAGGAAAGGTTATCACTTTCCTGTGATTTGCAAACAAGCTGCTATCATATCTCAGTGCTCGGTAATCAAACCGCCGTCAAACATACCATTTGACTTTGATGTCTGTCCAGACTTATTTTTATTGACCATTTGCTGTTGTTTGGAACGCCTTTAAATAAGTTCGGCGAAAAACAGAGAATGAGCTACATAGAACTATGTTTTCTGTTTAGTTTAGTGAGTGAGAGCAGCAATTTGTAGCACACAGTAAAAGGGGAACGTGAAAATTTCAATTTAAACACAAAAACAATGCTTGAAAATAACAAAATTTACTCTAAATCAAATGTGTAATGGATATTTTATAAAATAAATACATTATAATGTCGATGCCAGTGGTTTTTGGGAGTTTATTTGTTGTTACAAACTCTCAAATCGTGGTGCTCCTCCAAAAAACCAAATCTTAATGAGAACAAAAACAAAACCAACAACAACACAAAGACAGCAGCAGCAGCAGCAGCAGAGCAACTACATAGAGATATAAAAAGATTTTTTGTGTTGTGTTTTGTGATTTTTATGTGTTAAAAAAAGAAGCAATAACATTAAGGAATAAAAATGCAAATAATTAATTGATGAAATTAAAATAATGAGAAAACACAAAACAATGTGAAAAATTATGAAGTAATTAAATGTACTATTAAAAATAAATAATAAAGAAAATTATAAAAAGAAAAAAGCTGGACAAGACCAAACGGTAAAGAAGTGACGTCAAAACAGATTTTTTCTTTCATCAAAAACCATTAGCCAGCCAGCTAGAGCAGCGACTCTTAATAATTGAAAAAAAAAATTTTGCTTGAAAAAATCAAGAAAACTGCCCCAAAATGACGGACTGTTTAGATAGCTTATTCAGCAGTATGGCCAATACTTTCAATAGTGAAGTGGATCTGGATAATGCCGAAGTAAATTTAACGGAAGATAAAACATTAAAGTGGCGTAATTTGTCCAAAAATCAATTTGCCTCAAAAGATAAAGATAAGAAAAGCATTGGGGGAAAAACAACGCCAACAGTAGCCGCTGGGGCTACGGTGGCGATAACGACAGAGACGGATAGTCAAAGCGCCAATGGCAACAACAGCAGCTCAGTAACACTTAGTCCCAAAAAAGAAGAGGTAAAAACCGAACAAGAGGAGGAAGTGCAGGAGGTAAAACCCAGCCAGAGCCCCAGCAGCACGTCACATGCAGAACAACATGTTATCGTCGATAAGAAAAAAGAAATTGCGACAAATTTAGAAAATAATAATAGACAAAATCAAACAGGAAATTGTAATGTTCCAGTTAACGAAACAGCAACAGCAAAGTCCGAACAACAATTATTGGATATTAACAACGTTAATATGACCAATAAGAAAGTCCAGAAAAAAAGCACTAGCGGCGAAAATCATCAAGGTCAGCCAGTTTTGTTAGCAAGCAGCTGCAGCAGCTCTACTGTTGCTAACACCAACACACAGACGGCGGAGACAGTGAACCGAGAATTGGCCAAAGATAATGGTTCGAATGTAAGCAGCATAAAAGCGGAAGAAGAAAATAATCAGTCAAATAATAACGGCAACATAAATGGTGAAACACCCACAACAGCATCGAAACCAGAGACGCCAACGTCCTCATCTCCATTAACTGTGGTGGCTGCTGCCAATTCAGATCGACAACAAGTTGTTGCAGTTACAATAAAATCTAATGGCAATTCATCGGGCCATCGCCAACATCAACATCTTACAAACAAAACGGAAGGCAAAGATAATCATGATAGTGGAAATCTTCTTTTGCTCAATCAAAACAAAGATGTTGAGGTGAGCACCAAAACACCAACAACAACAGCGGCAGTGTCGTCGACGCCGTTATTTGTGGCTGATAATAGAGAGCAGAGAGTAACACCAGCTCCACCACAACAAGAGAGCACCAAAACACATGATGGTGACAGCTCTGCCGCGCCAATCTCAGAGAAAGAAACAACACATACTGTGGGCAACAATAACAACAACAACGCCGTTGATGTTAATGATAATAATAAGAATAAAACCAAAAACAACAACAACAACAATGCAAAAGCAAATCAAAATCAATCAGAAATGAAAAATCAAAATGCTGCAATTTCTTCTTCTTCCGTAAATTGTAATAAAAACAAATTAAAACCCATTGAAAAAGAAGTGTCGGAGATGGAGGACAGCAAAAAGAGAGTGGCGGCAGAGGTGTCAGATATAAATAATGATGATAAAATTAACACCCCCAACCAGTCAGAAGCAGAAAAAGAAGGGTGTTCTTTGGCAAATGAAAGTTCAAATGGGGGTGGCGGTGGTACTGGTGGTGGTCATGGAGGTGAGGCTAATAGTAAAAGTGAACCAGAAACGGCGGCCGGTGGCGTTGCTACAGCGGCAAAAGTCAACTGCACAGCTGCTGGTGCTGCTGCGACAGCGGCTAATGACAGCGTTGACAGCACGGGGGATGTTAAAGGTGCAAAAACTGTAAGTATAACAAGTATTTGTGAATGTGTAGTGTTTTTGCTGTTGTTGTGTTGTAGGGGAACAGGCTCTTAGCTGCCAAAGTGTATGAGTAGCCGTTTTTATGATAATTTTTTTTTTCTTAAAATGACTTTTGACTTTTGTAAAAGTGGGGGGGAACGAGATGACAGAAGAGGTGGAAAATAATTTGCCAATGGAGATTTGAAGTCGATTTTTGGGAAAATGCAATAGGGAAAGGTGTTATTTTTTAGAAACCCATATTTATAATGCCAATAAAACAATTATTGAATAATTGATGATGTAGAGCTTAGAACCGATATATACAGAGGTATCATAGAGGGCTATTTGGTCTGAGGTAAAGGAAAATAGCTTTTTGGTATTTTGAAAAGTTTTCATAGTTTTTTCTCCCTTAATAAAGCTGACTAATTAAAGTTTTTCTCTATTCTTTTCTTCATATTCATAATGGAAAAATGTAGCCATCCCTGTCCATATACTTGAGCTTCTATAGATCTACAAATAAATGATAGATCTATAGAAGCCATCCCTGTCGTCCCATCATGCCATAGACTTGAGCTTCTATAGATCTACAAATAAATGGTAGATGTAGATGATGGGATGACAGGGATGGCTACATTTTTCCATTATGAATAAAAGAATAGAGAAAAGCTTTTAAGTAGTCAGTTTTATTTAGGGAGAGTTATATAATTAAGCATTGCGGTCTTAGGGGAAGTCCATACTTCCCGAGTTTTGAACCTTAAAAGTTCCGTTAGTGGGTATCAATAGTACAGTCCCAAAAAAAAAACTCGCTTGAATTGGTACAGATTTACTTAATCATATCCCAAAAAATCAATTTCACTAAAATGTTTTTTTTTTTATTTTCCTTTTCATTTCAGGAGCCTGCCATTGAAACAGATGTCACAATGATCAATTTGGAAATTCCAACCAATATCAATGATGCCAGCATTTCCCAAGCTAGTCCAAATCCTGGGCAAGCAGAGAAAGAACAAACCGAAAAACCCAATGCAAATCAAACGCAAAACAAACGTGGACGTGGTCGTAGTAAGAAATCATTGAACACAGAGAATGAAGGACTAACAGCAACAACAGCAACAAACACACCAGCAGGAGAAACTAACACTGCGGCGAGTAGTGAACAACACAATTCACCAAATTCAAATGAACGCAAGGCGCCAGGACGAAAACGTAAACAATTAGATGAAGAGGTCACGGAAGGAAATACCAATAAACATGATGATGATGAGGGTAAACGTATGAGACGTAGTGAGAGATTGTGTAATCGTTTGGATGGTTTTAAGATTTTGGTAAGTTGGAGCTGGTTTTATTTTTTTAATAAAAAAAACTAATTTAAATTGTTTTTTTTTTAAGGATGAAGAAGTCTCCCATGGCCATGGCGGCGGACATCATGCGGATGATTCGCCAACCCGCAAGGCTCTACGCATACAAATTGATGAAAAAACACCACCCAAAAAACGTGGACGCAAAGCAAAAATACAACTTGAGGCTGAAAAGCATTCCGAGGAACAAATATCCCCCACTGGGGCTGGCGGTAGCAGTAGGCGCCACGGCAACTCAGCCAATGATGCTTCAGTTGTGCTACCAAAACGTTCACAGCGGCGCATAAAGCCCACAACAAAAATACTCGAAAATGATGAGCTACGCTATGAATTCGAAACCAAGA